TACTTATCTTACACAATATCTTTCCTATGTTTTAAAGCTATTGGTAAGCTGCCTTTTTGTGTTGCACAGTAGGCAAGAATTGGAAGTGATGCACTTTTGGCTGTGATCCCAGATCCAGTTACATGCTTTTCAACTGCAAAGTATTCTCAAACTCAAGTATTCGAAGTGTTTCCCAGCTCCAGCTTGCTCATTGTTGATTGGATAACTAGTGGCCGTTATGGAAGAGGTGAAAAGTGGGACTTTGAACTTTACAAGAGCACTAACAACATTTTTCTAGAAGCTGATGAGCCTTTGTTTCTTGACACGGTATTGTCATCCTCAAGCCATGTTTTTTAATTATGCTAGCATCATTGTATACTAAGCATGTGACATTGAAGAGAGTGGTGAAACTGAAGTATTTTAATCTTATAAGAAATTTTTATTTTTTGAACTATTGCTTGCAATAGATTCATGTCAATCTTTAATATCTTTGGATTTTTGTAGAATATTGTATTTTTTTTTTGTTTTAATTGCTTTCGAGCTTTCAACCTGTGATCATTTAATATCCTTTTAGTCAATTTATGCATATACAGGCCTTAATCCTGGCAATATATGTCATGTTGGATAATAGAATATTGTAATCATGGCAACTGCAGTTTACAGGAACATGGTAATTAATTTTGTCAAACGACTTTGGGCAAATGTCGATTAGATGCCTTAATGGTAGGAAACATCTTTGAGATGAATTCCCAAAAAAAAAAAGATCTTTTGGATGAAATTGCTTTATTCTGATGGACTGAGCCTGGAGAATGGGTTTCTCCATAGCAATTAATGTTGGTATTAGTTGAAATAATCAAATGCAAACATCTCATGGAGATACAAGCTTCAGATCTTCAAACTGATTTACTTGGAACTTAGGTGCACTTTTTGAACTTTGGCTTGCTTAAAGGTCATCTAGCACTTTGGCATGCACAGGTGTTATGTTACCCAGGCTTCTATTGTCTTCAACATGGAGATCATTTAGCTAATTTTTTTCCTCTATCAGGAATCTTTTGTTTTCCTTTTTCACACATGAATAATCATTAGTTGTTGGTGAAGTCTCAGAATGCTCTCTGCATTTGGGTTTCTTGACTCCCTTGTGTTGGGAGACTCTTGCTTTCGGTATTTTCTATACATCTGACTCTAAAACAAACTCATTTTGTTTTCTTTACATCTGAACTAATTAGAGAATTTTGATCCAAGAATGGTTACCTTTAATTCAGTTCTCTTCTCTGAAGTTTTTCCTTCTACAAGATTGACTCTGTTGTATCTAGATGATGGTTATCCTTCTCATTTAAATGGCTCGGATTGTTTTACTTTGATCACAGATATTGCTTGAGCAGGGAAGGTATAGCAGTATTGCTGAACGGATGCAAGATTATCAAGTAATTGCGTTGGTTATACTTTTGGGGTATGCGTTGAATCGATGAATTAATTTAACCAGTACTTTTATTCTTTGTATGATTATTTCTTTTCCACTACTTAATCTTGGTTAACTGAGAGACTACAAATCTTTTTAATTTTAGGCCAAAGCTGAAGTTCATTCAAGACCAAATTCAGGAAAATGCAAAAAACTTGATGTCTCAGCAATTACGTATTCCTTCAAGTAGCTCTGGACGATATGGAGATATCGATGACAATCCTTTCTTGACTAGACCCAACTTTTTGGCCTCCTGCAGCGTCTTTGGTCAAAAGGTAGATTTTTTTCGCATGGGTGTTAGTTTTCTTGCAATGGTAGGCTCTTTTTACAGTCAATATTCACTAGGTTCTGTTCCAAGGAAATTTTATTTTAGTGCTTGTTTGATACCACTGACTAATCTGCAAGGCCTTACATCTACAATTGCAGGCAGGGTCTTCTACATCATATATGCTTGAAGATCCTCATGGAATTTTTAATGTCTTTGGATAGCTCTTTTGAGAATCTTATGCTAATCAGTGGGTTACACGACATGAGCAAGTATGTTACATGATTTTGCTATTAGGCATTGTGGTATTTTGCTATTGACATGAGCAACTCCTAGTTAATCTTTCATGGATCATCATATTCCTTGTGGAAGCTTGATTTATGTATAGCCTAAATCTGCCTCGTCAAAATTTTGCCTGTCTCCATTACATGCACAGATGGTTAGACTTGACAATTGACAAGCTTTCCACCTTTCAGTCATGCTTTCTCTTGAACTCCTCATTGTAGAAAATGCTTATTTTCTTAAACTGAAGTAACATTTTCTGTAAGAATGTTTGGCATAGCTTCTGAAATTTCTGCTTCCTCTATTCTGACATTGATGTAGTGAAAATTCCATCTCTGCATTGTCAAGTCAAGGAAATTTTAGCATTTGTACAAATTGTTTCATAAGTCAAATTTTGTTTAACTGAATATACGTGTTACATTGTTCATTTGAAGACATGCCAACTCCTCCCTGTTTTCCGCAGGGAAGAGGTGTTGTGGTTCAAATTGCTACAATGACGACTGAGTCAGTTTACAGTTTTCTTCAATGTCAGTTGTCTGGCCGACTAGACTCACTGCTTGGTGTGGCGCCATATCGGTGATTGTGGAGGGCCTTTTTGTGGCTTAGGAAACATCATAAAGTCATCCAAGATGCTGAAAGAGGCTAATTGCTCTGTTTGTATTTTTTTTCTTCTAAAGAAGATTCTCTTAATTTAGTGGTAATATAATCTATGATATTGTATCTGGCACATTTTGAACTTCTGTTATAGTGACTAATCCTGGTTGCAAAATTTGTAGTTGGGATAATTTTGTAAACCGCCCTTTAGGCTTCTGACAATTTTGCCTAGCAACTCTTATGTTTTGAGTGCTATAATAATGTAAACCCCTATCCCAATAAGTAATATTAAGGGTTCGTTTGGGGTTACGGTAGTTTATTGTAAAGTACTTTCTTAGTGGAGCTTTTAATAAAAGTATTTATCAACTGCTTAAGTGTTTTTAAACATATTGTTGGAGACATAATTTAACAAGTACTTATTGTATTAAATAATGTGTAATTTAAAAAAATTTAAAAAGTGTTTATCTCTTTATTTGATTCATAATATAGTATAAGATGATTAAATTTGATGCTTTATTTTTTAAATCACAAAATTTACTCTAAAAACACCAAATTTTAGTTTTTACTAAAAGTGTTTTGAACACCAAAAGCTCTACTCCTAATTTTACGAGATGATATTTTCCAAACACTTTAAAAGTACTTTTAACACCTAAAAATATTTTTTACCAAAAGTACTGTAGTCCCAAACAAAGCCTAAAAGGTCGTGGAAAATGTATCAAAATATTCATAGTTTATTCTAAGGGTGTAAATGAATCTAGTCGAATCGAGTTTTGATTCAACTGAGTCGAGCCTCAACCTAAGTTTATGAAACTCGAACTCGAGTTCGAGGTCGACGGCCTCAAAATATAAACCTCGAGCTCGAGTTTAAAAAAATAAAAAATAATTATTTTATTTTTTAAAAAATAAATAGAATAATAATTTTTCTTAACAAATAATAAAATATTAGGGATATATATGAATTTTATTATTAAAATAAAAAATAAAAAATATATATAATCAAGTTCGAGCTGCTCGCAAGTTAACGAGTTTAATATTTTTGAACTCGAGTTTGAGTTTGAATTCGACTTGATCAGCTCGACTTCGATGTTGACCGAGCTCGAGTCGAGTTTGGACTTTGATCACGAGTGACTCGATTCGTTTGCAACCTTAGTTTACCCTTTTGAGCTAGACACGAAAATAAGTTATATTTTTTACCCAAACTTGTGCATTTAAATGTTTCAAAATTTCGAAAAAGGAATGACCCTAATTGCAACCTATCCCTTTACCTACTAATTGCAACTTTTTTGACACACCATTTATTATTTCTTTTTCCATCTATGGCTCAAAATTAGTTTTATTATGCATGACATGGATTCAGTAATGACTCACTATGAAAAGGATTACAAGTCCTTAGGTACCCATAATGGGATTGGTGAATATTGTGAGATAACTTTATTATTACAAATTAAGGGCAATCAATCAGGTGCAAAGAAAAGAAATAAGAAAACAATTATTATAGGATTTTTTTAACGGATGTCCTATGGGCACTCGTTAAGACGCTTACATTCTATCCAACTTACTATGTATATACACACACTAATAATTACTACTTTCTCTAATTAATCTCCTTACATTTATATACTTTTTTAATTAATCTTATATTTTTTTAAATATAATACCCGAAATACATCTTAACGAGTGCCCATATGCACCAGTTAAACAGATCTATTATTATATAGGGCATAATTGCCTAGTCTAGTGGTTAAATGCTATTCTTACTTGGCCTAATCTTGTTCAGATTTTTCTCCACCCTGCAAATTTATAACTGAGACAATCAAGAAGGTTGCAATCTTGATTAGAGAAAATGCACGCACCATTATGTCCCTGAACACAGGGGACTCATGTACTGAAGCTTGATATTTTTCAGTGCAACAAGAACATCTTGTATGCTGCTTCTCTCTCTTGGAGACTCCATCGTGCAGCCTAGAGCCACTTTCATGATTGAGCCTATGCAGCTTAGCTTTTCAACAAAGTGTTCATCACTTTCCTCTAGCAAATTAGCATCTATGACATTAGCTAATCCATCAGGTATTGAATTAGCAACCCAGCTCTTCAGGCTCAAATTTTCACCAAACATTTCACTGTTGGGATTTGTTCTCGTGAAGACTTCCATCATCATAATTCCAAAACTGTAGATGTCGCATTTTGCTGATACCAATCCTTCCAACCCATACTCTGCAAAACACATATAAATTCATCATATGTCCTTAAATTGATTGTATTTTTTTAGTTTGGAATTTGCAACAGCAAACAACTGAGGAAATAGTACTTTAGTTGTACGAGAAAATTCTTCACCTGGTGCGAGATAGCCAAGTGTGGCTAGTGTTTCGGTGTATGTGATGCTGTTCTCCTTGCCCAACAACTTTGTAAGGCCAAAATCACTTAGATGGGCAACCATGTCTTGATCTAGCAGCACATTACTTGGCTTCAGATCACAATGAATTACTGGAGTTGAATACTCGCAGTGGAGATATTGCAATGCACATGCCACATCAATGAATATGTCCAATCTCTGCATCAGATCCAGAAAATAGTTGTGCGAATACAACCACTTCTCAAGACTCCCATTCGGCATGAACTCAAGCACTAATGCCTTAAATTCAGGGGTAGAGCAGCTGCTAATGACTCTTGTGAGGTTTCGATGGCGAAGATTGCGCAACACCTCACATTCTACATCAAAACTCTTGAACGCTCCATCGACTTGTAAATTGAACACTTTAACAGCCACATCCCTTCCATCATCAAGAGTACCTCTATAAACATATCCAAAGCTTCCAGCCCCCAGCAAATTGCTTTCATTGTACCTGTTAGTTGCTTGTAGAAGTTCAAAATATGAAATTCTTTCTGGCATTGCAACTAAGGATAAATTTGCTCCACTGGAAAGTGTATCTTTCTTTCGATATCTTAGGTAAACAAATCCAAAGGACAAGACTCCCGCTGCTATTATCACCCCCAGTAGAATAAAAATTGTTTGATGCAACTTTTTTGTTCTCAATTTGTGAGCTGAATTATTTGGACATGGGGGCACATGAAACCTTTGAGCTCCACAGAGGGCTTGATTTGAAGTGAAGGATTCGGCAGTGAAGTTGATAAAAGGCCCTCTGGAAGGAACTTCACCACTTAAATTGTTAAAAGAGACATTGAAATGTCTAAGATACCGAAGGATCTCCATTGACATTGGAATTGATCCAGAGAGAAAGTTATGTGATAGATCCAATGACTCCAAGCTTAACATCTTGCCAATCGATTCTGGGATTGATCCTTGTAATCTATTGTGTGCTAGAGAAAGATTTTGCAGGTTCTGCATATCTCCAATTGAGTTAGGAATGCCACCTGAGAACTGATTGGTTGACAAATCTACCCAATATGCCTTCTTCATATTCGTAATAGCATACGACAAAGATCCACTCAGCAGATTTGAGGAGAGGTCAAGCTCCAAGAGATATTTTAGGTTCCATATTTCCTCAGGTGGAGCAGAATATTGTCTGTTGTGACTTAGGTCAAGATGCCTTAGGGAAGTAAGATTTCCGAGGCACTTTGGAATTGAGGCCATAAATTGATTTTGTCCAAGGTTCATTGTATCCAAGTTGTTGAGAGCACAAAGAAAATGCAGGGGAACTCTGCTAATTGGTTTGTTCATACTGAGATCCATGTATTGAAGCTTTTGCAAATCTTTTATTGTAGCTGGCAAAGACCCATTTAAGTCATTGTTTGATAGATCTAATATGATCAAACTTGTCAAGTTTCCAATTCCATCAGGAATGCTACCCTTTATTTTACAATTCGTTGCATTTAGTTGTTCAAGGGAAGTTGAAAGATTACTGACCGAGTTTGGAATGATCCCATTCAATGGATTGCCACCCAAGACCAATATTGACAAATATTTGCATTTTGTCAGTGAGGTGATGAAGCTCAACTCTGGAGATGAGGAGTCGCTCACTAAAAGGTTGCCACTTAGCTCCAGCAGTTCAAGGAACCTCAGATCTCCCATGGAAGTGGGAATTGGACCCATGAACTTGTTATCACCCAATTCTATGCGACGGAGATTAGAAGAATTTGAGATTGAACTAGGTAATGCTCCAGAAAGGTGATTAATGCCGAGATCAAGGTATTCTAAATTGGGAAGCCTATAACCGAATATTGATGGAAGATTGCCTGATAGTTGATTTTGTAAAAGTGACATCGCGCTCAACTTTGAGAGGTTGAAGATCTCCATTGGTATGGAACCAGTTAAGCTATTGAATTGTAAGTTGAGTTGTTGGAGAAAGTACCAGTTACCAATCTCTCGTGGTATGACACCTGCCAAAATAATATTGAGCACATATATTAAACCATATAAGTGTCTAATTTCTGTTATTGAGAAAATTGTCGTACCTGTTAAGTTGTTGTATCCAAAATGTTGCCATTTAATCATAGTTGAATTACCAATCTCTTTTGGAATTTGACCTGCAAAAATGAAATGGAATAAATATCAACAAGTTGAGATCTTTGATGGATGTTCTGAAGAAAAGTAAATTAAAAAATTAATGGGCCAAAAGCAGGAAATTGGCCACATCCCGGCACCCCTCAACATTTTGAAATTGGCTCGTTTCGGAATCAAAAAGACATTTTAAATTAAATGCATGTCAAAATTAATTTTTTTTCATTTTTTTTTTTGCTATTATGTAGAGCCCTAAGAAAATATAAATATGTTTTCGCCATTAACTTGTCTATCAGGACCATATTCTTATCTACTGCTTATATCCCTTGTCTTCCTAGCTGTAAAGGAACCAAAATTCTGAAAATCTTTGGTAACAATTCTTTCCTTGAGGCAGCATTTTGAGAATTCATTCAGCAGAAAACAATCTTCAGCTCTAAATTTTTCTTTTATCTTTTGCCGTTTGAGTTGGAATCTGGAAAGATATAGTAAAAATTGTGCAAGACATGTGCTATTTGGCTTTGTCCATTTATGGTGAAAGAATTAATTAGCAAGGGTCTTACCTTCTAAATAGTTGTGACCCAAGTACAGCTCCTCAAGCTTCTTCAGTGCTCCAATTTCTTTTGGTATGGAACCTCCAAATTCGTTGTAAGACAAAGACAGCACCCGAAGTTCTGAACATTGAGCTAAATTACTTGATGGTAATTGACCATTTAACTTGTTATTTGATAGGCCAACAAAACTCAGTCCAGGAAGATGGTAACACATATCACTTGGAAGAACTCCGAACAGGCCATTATTTGTAAGGTCAATGATTTGCAGCGAGGAAATGTTGAAAATCCCTATAGGAATGTTTCCTGCCAGATAGTTGTACGAAAGACTTATCTCCTCTAGCTTTGACATGTTAGAGATGGAAGATGTGAAACTATTGTTACTGAGAGACAAGAGATGAAGTTGAGGAAATGAACCAATCCACCAGAAACAATCTTTAGCTCTAAAATTTTTCATGTATCTTTTGCCGTTTCAGTTGGAATTCGGAAAAAAATTGTACAAGACAAGTGCTATTTTTTTTTTTAGAGCAAACCAACTTCTGGATCTGGATCTGCACAAATTAACTACAAATTAACAAGGATCTTACCTTCTAAATAGTTGTAACCCAAGTATAGCTCCTCAAGCTTCTTCAGTGCTCCAATTTCTTTTGGTATGGAACCTCCAAATTCGTTGTAAGACAAAGACAGCACCCGAAGTTCTGAACATTGAGCTAAATTACTTGATGGTAATTCACCATATAACTTGTTAAATGATAGGGAAAGGATACTCAGTCCAGGAAGATGGTAACACATGTCACTTGGAAGAACTCCAGACAGGCCATTATTTCTAAGGTCAATGAATTGAAGCGAGGAAATATTGAAAATCCCTGTGGGAATGTCTCCTAGCAGATGGTTGTTAGAAAGAACTATATACTGTAGGTTTGACATGTTCGAGATGGAAGAAGGGATTAGACCAGTGAAACTATTGTTTCTAAGATTCAAGTGACGAAGCTGATGAAATGAACCAATCCACCAGGGTAACTCTCCTTTGAGATTGTTGATGGCCAAAATAAGTACTTTCAATCGGCGCAAACGAGCAATTTCATGCGGCATCTCTCCATGGAAATTGTTCATACTCATGTTAAGAGAGACGAGAAATGATAGATTTCCCAGTTGTGGAGGTAAGGTGCCGGAAAGATTCATATTTGAAATGTCCAAGGCAGTCACTCTACGATGCCGAGAGCCACAAGAGACTCCAATCCAATCGCAGACCGAAGAGCTGACAGACCAGTTTTTGGCCAAGATTTGTAGAGGGTCAACCGAAATGTGAGCTCTGAAGGCAAGAAGAGATGACTGATCAGTGGTAATATTGGTCGGGAACATGGCGAAGGAAGCTGAAAGAAAGCATAGCAACACAAGTAGTCCAAGTGGGAAAAGGTTGTGAAATTTCTCCATGGCTAATGATTGCTATATGATGGGTGAGGAGTCGCATTATATATAGCAGTCTCAGTAATATTATGGATAATGTTTGTTAATTTGATTTCTGTTTTCAGATTAAGTGATGTAATTGTGATGCTGATTACAATTCTTTTGACGACATTATTCAGATTAGAATAATGGAGTTCGTGGTTAATAACGTTGCTGAGATTTGTGGAAATTATACAAATAGAAGCAGCTCAAATTATGAATTAGCAAATTTACTTAAACAAAATCTCCTATTAATTTGGAACAACCTGTAATTTCCGAGTGTTTTGTTGTTAATTTCTTTTTGGGGCAGTAAAAATTGTCTTTGTATAACTACTAAACAAAGTTCTTATTTCTCGTTTCAATTTATTCTTCTCAGACGTAGGCAAAATTTTGTTTACACCAACATGTTTAGGAAAGCATTTGGTTACATTTTTTTAATTGTGTTTAAAATTTTGTTATATGTAGTAACACAACACACCTAACCGATACTTACCAAAGCATTTAGGAAAGCATTCTTTCTTTTTTTTTCTTTTTCCTTTAATGTTACAACTAATCAAATGGTTGCATCAAGAAAAACATATTATAATTCAGCAACTTGACAAACTGATCCCAAATGGTGGGACAAGTAATAACATAAAATCAAGAGCAAACTTTCATTTAGAAACATTTGAATCCAAAACCTCTTTTTTTTTCTTATGGTCCTTCACTTTAATTGTTTTTACCAGTAAATCAAGGTATCGTTGCCTTTCTTGTAACTAATAATAAAAATAGTACCTTTGCTTCACACGTGTCAATATACTGAGTACAAAAGTATAGTATAAAAAGTTATGCTAGGCAAATATTACTATTTCTGATGATTAACAGATAAAAGAAATTGATAATAAATTAGATGCAAAAATTGAAGTCGTTGGTATGGTGTTGTTGAGCAATTTTTAAAAAATTAAATGTAATCCTCATAGGAGATTGGTTTGTCTTTAGCACAATTTTTTGCCATTGTTACATATAATCTCTTGCTAATTTTATGATTTAGCATATTGATCAAACCTGTTAAAATACTCTGTCCTATAGCCAAATATGTGTCCTTACTCTGCCACATCTAAAGCACTATTACACTTTTTGAAACATGAAAATCCTATCGAACCTATCATATATTATTACTTAATTTGAGGTACAATAGAAGTTTGACGTTGTCACATTTTTCTACAAGTAATATTTTCCAGCAACAAACAATTAAGCAGTTTTATTGGAACCTCTAGACCAAATACTCTCCGCTCTCAAAATAAATAAATTAAAGTTTAACAACTAAAAATAAGATGTAAAAGCCAAACTGAACCAAGACTTTTGTGTAGACAAAACTGCATTATGATGGATGCTTTGAACACCGAAATCACTGTGGTTTTTATGGCGATGAACAAATAAAGTTGAAAGCAATTTCTGTTCTCGAACTTGCATAGATTATTTCCGGGAAACTTCTTAGGCCTCTTAGCACTAAAACTTTTTGTGAAGTCTTCCTTCATGTACAGCAAGTCCAGAGACCGTTCTCATTGACGGCAAGTCTTCCTTCAATTTAGGAGGAAAGGCAAATGAATTCCCCTAGAAGTAGTCTAAGGGACCGTTCTTTGAAGCATAGTTATTAAATCCGGCTCGGTCCGGCGGTTCGACCGATCAACCCGGTGAACCGGCCATTAAATCGGGCCGATTCTTTAATTAGATTGTTTTTGCAAGTGAACCGTTGACTTTTCAACGGCCCGACAACCGGATTAAATCGAAAATCCGGCCGGTTATGTGAACAAACCGGTTTTGAGGAGAAAAGGCCTTTCCAAGCCTTTGCTTGGAGTCGAACCCAAGACCTTTGGTCTTGTTTATGAAACACTCACCACTAGGCCACTTTGTCACTGATTAATGGTCATTCTTATGCTATATGAACGTTTTGTTAATTTTATCTTTATTTTTTTAAATTCTCCCAAACAAATTTATTTGGAATCTTTTAACAAAACTTATGACCCCTATATTCTATAAATTATAAAATAGATTTAAAAAATAACATATTACATAATTTATTTTAAAGACAAATATTGTTTTTAATAATTTTTTGCACTTAAAATTCATAAATAACCTAGATAATTACAGTAAACATATAAAATTTTACACTTGAAATTTGGTGGATTACTAATTAAATTTATGTTTTATTGATTCTTATATAAATTAAATATTCTATAGCAAATTAAATTAAATGAATATTTGTTATGACATTATTTATTACAATTTATATCATATATCTTATATCAAAATTTATAAGATATAATATTTAAATATATTTAGTGACCCACTGGTTAAACCACTCACTCACCGGTTGAACCATTCACCCACCGGTTAAATCAATGACCCGTTAACTCATCTCCTTCGCTGGTCTACTCTTCGAGCCGAGTTTAATAACTATGCTTCGAAGTGTTCCTTCAAAGAAATTCACTTTGCTTTTCCTCACCTTTTTCTTCGTCGCGCTTGAATTCCAAAGTTGACAGAACTTTTTGTGAAGTGCTCATACATGTTGACTCCGGAGACCCTGTTGACCACTCATCATCGTTCATCGTAAGTCTTCGTTCAGATTATGATGATAATTTTTGGATTGCATAAGATGCTATTGCAACATGTAACTCTGCCATTGGCACTATCAAGAAGTGATATTATATGGACTATGGAACAATACTGGTGAAGGATTTAATGCTACAATTCAGGCCCTGTTTGGTTCAAAGAATTCATTGAGAAAATTGAAAATGAATTCCCATAGAGAAATAGTTCCAAGAAATTCACTTTGATCTTCCTCACCCACTTCCTGGAATTAAACCGGGGGATTAGAGTAGGCTCCAAGTCCAAACATGCTATTGCGTCGTCTCGTTTCACTTTTCTTGTAACAAAATAATGATTAGAGACGCATGAATTCCTGGAGTTGTTGATGGATTATGTGAACATTGAAACAAACCACACATTATTGTGTTAGCCTAATTGCTAAAATTGTTATAATTGACATTTCCAAATGATAGGATTAATCCCGAACAGAGAGCTATAAAAGAGAACCTTTGAGGATGTATTGAGATTATTGTGTTGGTCAAATACACTTTACTCCATAGACCTTCAGTGACTATGTAGATATTTCTGAAAGACTCTCAATTCCACCGATCAATTCCACCTTCATTCTCAAACTGGGAATTTCATTAGGCACTGTGGTATATTACATGATTTTGCTATTAGGCATTGTGGTATATATTTTTTTTCTTTTATATATCTTAATCTTTCATGGATCATCGTATGCCTTGTAGAAGCATGATTTATGAATAGCCTAAATCTGCCTCTTCAAAATTTTGCCTCTCTCCGTTACATGCACAGATGGCTAGACTTGAAGATTGACAAGCTTTCCACCTTGCAAGCATGCTTTCCCTTGAACTCCTTATTGTAAAAAATGCTTCTTTTCTTAAAGGGTAAATTACACTTTACCCCTCTGTGATTTAATATTTTTGTACATAACCCTTTTATGGTTTCAAAATACATAATCCCCTCATGATTTGAATAAAGTGTCAAAATAACAGAATTTGTAATCCATAATGAAGTCACTTAAAATGTCAAAAACATCCCTATATAAAGTTGAAAATTATTTATTAACTATAGGAGAGTTATGTGTATATTTTGAAAATCACAAGGGAATTATACGGTAAAATATTAAACCATAAGGGAATTATAAAGTAAATCATAAAATCATACGAGATTAGTGTGTCATGTATATTATATTTATATATTTTGATCACTTTAATCATTTTGATTTTTAAACAAGGGTAATTTCGATATTTTTAAAAATTCCATCTTAAATGATTATTTCTGTCATTTTAATACTTTAATCCAAATCATGAGGGGCTTATGTATAGTTTTTGAAATCATATGGTGGTTATGTACAAAAACACTAAATCATAGGAGAGTAAAATGTAATTTGCTCTTTCTTAACCTGAAGTAACATCTTCTGTAAGAATGTTTGGCATAGCTTCTGAAATTTCTGCTTCCTCTATTCCGATGTTGGTGTAGTGAAATTCCATCTCTGCATTGTCATTATCAAGTTAGGCAAATTTAGCTTTTGTACAAAGTGTTTCATGCGTTAAATTTTGTTTAACTAAATATACGTGTTACATTCTTTATTTAAAGACATGCCAACCTATGTTTTCAGAACCGGACCGGGTATCGACTCGGTCGTGCTCAGGGGTCAGGGGTCAATGGGTTCAACCGGGTTCGATAGGGGTCGAACCGGATGACGTCATAAATAAAAATTATTTAAAAATTAAAATATTATATATAAAATACCTCATAGCATGTTAATATTAATAAAGATATATTCATATATATTTGATATTTCAAATATATTTAATAAAAAAATAAAAAGAAATTAGAACAATCAAGTAGCAATTTATATTATTTAATAAACATTAACAAGTTTAGAATTAAAATTATGAATTTAATTGAAAAATAACATCAAATTTTGGGATAATATTTATAAAGTATGAAATATTTGATGTATATTAATAAGTTTTAACCATTTAGGGGGTTAAAACATAATATTGAAAAAATTTGAACTTTTTTTTACAACGTCCGAAACAAAGGCCGTGTTTTTATTTCACCGGCCGCTCCTGCATTCCAACAGCTATCTTTTTCGTGTGGGCCCAGACGTAGCTGCTTTTCAAACTAGCTTAGTTTCGGATCAGGAGGGTCACACCGTTAACACTTGTCCTTGGCGAGTGATTGACCAAACACCCCAATTCGGTTGGCCAATATTTGAATGCAATGTTGAACCGGTTTTCCGGGTTTTCTCCGGTCAAACCCGGTCAAACCCGGTTTTTGACCGAAGTTGACCGAGTTTTTAGTCTTCCGGTTCTGATGACCAACTCGGACCGGACACTTGGCCGGTTCCCGGTTCAATCGGTCGGACCGGCCGGTCCGGTCCGAGTTTA